CTTAAAAGTAGAGGATGGACAATGGATAACAATATAGTATGTGACTACTCTAACTACTAAGCACTAGATTCTAACTTGTCGGGTTTGACTTCTTTTGTCGGAGACAGTGGGAGACGAAAGATCCCACTTTTTCTATGATGTGTGGGTTTTGTGATGTTAAGAGGAGAGTAGTTTTCTTTTTGTCTGTAAACGTGGAGAACTTTCTGGGTCGCACACTGTGATTAACCATGACCTTGGCCAAAGCCACCATGCTTGTATCTACAGATTCTGACATGTTAAAGCCCTGTGTGTGTTGAAATTCTAAACAACATTCAACTTTGCCCTGGATGTTAACGCTCGAAAAAGAAGATAGCAGCAGCTCACGTGTTTAGCTGGTTACCTGGTGTGTGTTTTCCCACCACTGGATACAGGCAGTGGTCTCTTGCCTGCTTAATGAACCCAAGAGTTGTGGAAACAAGGGAAGTTTTAATGGGTAAAACGAGCCGCCTTTGCTGCTCAACTGTTGAAAAACACTGTCACCTGAGACTGTTTATCCACCATCTCTGGCTGTCCATCCCAGACACAGCCCTTCTAATTGCACAGAATAACACCAGGCTACTGAACTATGTCAACTTTTACAAACTCTCTCAGGGACGTTTTTTTTGGTTACCTCTTCTTCAATAGCGTCACTTTTGGCTTAATTTATCTGATGTGGAACCATTTTTGAAGATGAACAATGAAGGATTATATCAGCAGCACTTAAAACTCACCCATGGGCCAGTGACATACTCCAGATTGCTACACACACAAAAAAGGTGGACAGTTTCTGGATTTCTTAGTAGTTCTCCCACAGTTCAATGAAACTTAACTCAAGCTTCCTGAAGGTGTGTTAGGGCTATGCTGTAACAGTCTTCAAATTATGAAAAAGAGAAGAAAAAATAAACAAATAAGAAGGGGAGGGGACATTGTCCATATTATGTAAACAAACAGCTTCAATTGTATATAGACAATTGAGGCAAACAGGAATAGGACCAATAAACTTTACCTAGCTACTCCCATAATGGATGTATTAGCCTAGAAAAAGTCACCTTTGCCAGGTCTAGTGGTCCATTACTTGGTACCCTTCTTTTTTCTTTCATCATGAGGCCAGGTTATTATTTAATACATGTATATAGGTAATAGACTGTGATGTTATGAAATGTATCTACCAGATATTGAGATGAATCTGTCTTCACGGGAATTTTAGTCACACGGTGCATCTGTTAGCAAAGAAAGAGCACGTAATTCTGTTGCTATTGTCTTTAAGCTTCAGTCTCTGAGGTACATGTACTGTATATTGCTACTGAATTGTGTTGGCTGGTCAATGTTCTATTGCACTTATTCTATACCTCCTGGGTGCTGGGCTAGTTTGGAGGACCAACTTATTTTTTATTTGTTGGATAGAGTAGATGCAGCCAGAGTATCTTAATTTTAGTTCCTATGATTGCCCGGTGACTTCTGAGCACTCTGAAGCGGACTGTGATACCAAGGAGACCATAGCACGGCACAGGTTCCCTCGGACAGTCTTCCCATGACTGCCGCTGACCCAACTTGTTGTCATTGACGTAACAATGCACACTAAGAGTGTTTGCCTTCAGTGGTGTGTATGTTTAACTGTCAAGCAACCCACCTATTAATGTGGCTGTTTGCATATTTGTGTAATGTCCTGCAGGGGGCTTTGAAACTCACCCCCATGTTCCACCACGACCTGGTTGAACATTGTTACGTTTCAAACACAACCGTGGGAAAAGTAAACTGTTGTAACTGTTAGATGGCGGCGATAAACTGGCCCTAAATCAGTGGCACTTCATTGTCCTCCATCTTGTTCATTTTCGATTGGAACTTTTAATACCGCATTTATTGCTCTTATCTTGACAGTTTCTAGAGATCCCTAACTTTGTACCGACCGCAATTCTGGATTAGGAAGGAGTTCCCAGTGAGCACCTGTATGGTTAATATTTTCAGGATAAGTCAAGATGGGTCGGCCCATTTACATAGTGGGGGTGCATGGCAGGTGTAAAGATTGCCATATAGTTCACTCACCATCACCAATTAATTGCTAAGGAAGCAATGGCACCTCCTCTTGGTGTGAATACTTTCTCAAGGTCTTCAGTTATAGATGATGTCTTCAGGTTCCTTAAGGCCTACTTTACAAGCTTATAATCCCATATTTAAGCATGATGTAAAGCATGCGTAAAGGCTGGGTTCCTCCAGTTGTCGAAAGAGAAGGGGAACCTTTACGCATACTTTAAGATATGCTGAAATATGGGATTTTATGCAGTGTTACACAGTTTTTTCTGATATCGATGGCTAATAGCTTATACACATACAGTCATAAAGAATTGCAAGACACCTGTTGCAATTGAATTACAGTTGTGACCTGTCATAATAAATTTTATTTCTAGCTTTAAGTCTGCACATGCCTTTTTTCGTGAGGTGTTTCAAGCCATTTTAATTCACCGTTAATCATAGCCAGTTGCTTTAAATCAACGTTAAGCAATACTTTGTGCTCAAAGCATAATTGGTACATGTCGCACGTTTTTTAAACATTATTGAAAAACTCTTGGTATCATGTAATCATTTGTCAAATTTTCCAAAAGTCATAACAAAAGATCATTCCAAAGAAGTTGTTCCCAAATACTTACACATGAACAACTTAATTTAGGCATTGCTGGCCTTCCTGAATTTACCTCTAAGCGGTCCTGCCAGGATCCCCCCATGCAGACCCTCCTACAGTGCACACAATGGCTGTTAACTTAGAAAAAAAAGTAGGTGTTAGAGTTTGAAGTGATGGACTGGAAAGGTCAATGAACCTGTGACTGTTGTAGTTGTCCTCCAGACAGCTGCTCTAGCCCCTCAAGTTTAAAACAGTCAGGGATGACTGAAATGACAACTGCCCTGCTGTGAGAAATCATACAGGCAGAGGATTTACATCTAACTGTAATCTGATTTCAAAAGTTTTAACTCCCTGAAACAACCATTTTTGAGAAGTGGTTACGGTTCAAAACCTGCCTTCACCCAGTCAGATAGAACCACCCTTTTTCTGAGAGTTCACATTTTAAAACCAGTTCTCCATCCACCAATGACTACTGTTGTTTTTCTGAGAGTTCACATTTCAAACCAAACCTGTTCTCCATCCACCAATGAGAACTGGCCTTTTTCTGAGCATTCATTGAGTCGTTGTCAGTCTCCAATGACTTGGGTTAAAAAAAAATGTTTTTGATTGTTATTGATGCAGATCAGATGTCATTCTATCATTACAAAACATAACCCATCCACATTGTGTTTCACATACCATTCAAACCAGAATTTGATACACAACTTATCAATTCAGTAGGAAAATTCTTTGGGGAAATTCTTACTTATTCCTTTTATAAAACACACTTTGAGGGTAATTTTGAAAATAAGGAACATTCCCATTACACAGTTTAATGTTCATGCTTGACCAGTTGCATCATAACACACTTCTTGAAAAGAAGTGCCCAGTCAAATTTTTTGCGAACAATCATTTGCATGCAAGAAAAACATTAAAAATTGCAGTCAAAGATGAAAAATTCTTTTTATTGCAGAAGCATAACTGCTGTGTGTGATGAATAAACCATGGAAGGAATATAATATTACATAGCAATAGAATATAATAAACACTAGATTGAGTATAGAGTCTATTAAATGTGCTACATTTAGCTGGTATTGATAATTAGCACCCAAAGTTGATTTCTTAGCAGATTGTTATGAGAGCCCTTTTGAACACAGAGGACTCTGACCCTGTTCATACCAGACTTACATTTAGCGGTTTCAACCGGTTTTTCAAAAACCCGGCTAAAACCCTTAGCGTTCATACCAGACTTTTGATAACCGGTTTTTAAAAAATCCTGTCCGGTGAATATCCAATTAATCGGCCATGACTGCAGTTTGAATAACCGTTCCTCCCGCTCTTCCGATTGTTGTCCTTGGCCTTCTTACTTGTATGCCGTCTTCAGTTTGTTTGTTTTTACCTTACTGCGGCACTGATCCTTTATCTTCAAGAAATCAGCCTCCTCCAACATTTTTGTTTCGGTAGAGCCCTCGCCGCCCCCCCCCCAGCTTTTCGAATTCGG